CGGAGGGCCTCAACCCGTACGGCCTAGTCGCCCCCCGCTTCCAGCGCAAGTTCAAGGCCAAACAGGTGCCAGAGGGCGTGGGTGGTGGGAATGGCCACAGCGTTTACCTGGCCACCTCGGCCCCTGGACCTCCACCGAGCCTTCCCCTGCAAAGCCATGTGCTCACTCATTCTTCTCCCCCCGCGTCCCTGAGACAGTGCGCTGGTCCCCTCCCAGAGGAGGGGGGCACAGTCCCGCTGCCCATGTCCACCTCGGGGCCTGGCTCAGCTCATAGGTGATGAGTGGTGAGAGGGTGCACTCTGGGGGCCCACAGTGGGCACTGCCCCTGCCCTAGCTCAGCTGGTGGGGGCAGCCAGGGGGCCGCGGGGACGTTGGATGCCCCTCACCAGTGTGGCCCCACAGCTCACCCCCCGGATCCTGGAAGCCCACCAGAACGTGGCCCAGCTCCCCTTGTCCGAGGCCCAGCTGCGCTTCATCCAGGCCTGGCAGTCCCTGCCTGACTTTGGTATCTCCTACTTCATCGTCAAGTAAGAGCCCCAGCCGGTCCTCTCCACCCTCACCCTGAACCTCCCTTCCTGGTCTCTGTGGGCAGAGCTGACTGAGGGCACCCCCTGGGCCCCACCCATCCTGCACCCCCACAGCAAACACAGAGAGAGAGCAGGCCAGGAGAACAGGAGACCAGCTCCGTCCCGGCTCTGCTGCGGACCCTTCCCTCTCCCGACCTCTGGGAGCTGGTCTGTGGGACGGGCCAACGTGGCTGCTGGGACAGGGAGTGCCCCCTGCCCGTTTCCAAGTCTGTGAAGATATGATTGAGGCAACAGATGATACAAAAAAGTTACTCATGTAAATAAATATTTTTTATTGATTTCAGAGAGGAAGGGAGGAGAGAGAGAAACATCAATGATGAGAGAAAATCATTGATCTGCTGCCTCCTGCACGCCTCCTACTGGGTATATGCCCTGACTTCCTGGTTCATAGTTTGAAGCTCAACCACTGAGCCACGCCAGCCGGGCAAAAAAAGTTATTTAAAGGCATAGAGTATTTGCTGACGCTGCTAAATGTTATTATAATTATCACATTGGTTAACTCCCACTTTCCAGATGAGGAACTTGAGGCCCAGAGAACCTAAATGACTTCTTTGCAAACCCACTGCTGAGCACTGCACCAGGCTGTCTGGGCAGGCGCCGGGCCGCGGGGTGGGGCCCTTGCTCACATCTGTCCTCCTGGGGACCAGGTTCAAGGGCAGCAGGAAAGATGAGATCCTGGGCATTGCCAACAACCGACTGATCCGCATCGACCTGGCCGTGGGCGACGTGGTCAAGACCTGGCGCTTCAGCAACATGCGCCAGTGGAATGTCAACTGGGACATCCGGCAGGTGGGCCCGCGTGAGGGTGCGGGGGGGAGGGGCCGGGCCAGACCCAGCAGGGCAGGGCCGGGGTGCTCCCTATCCCACCCAGCCAGCCCCTCCGACTGCCCGCCCTGCAGGTGGCCATCGAGTTTGACGAACACATCAACGTGGCTTTCAGCTGCGTGTCTGCCAGCTGCCGCATTGTGCACGAGTACATAGGGGGCTACATTTTCCTGTCAACGCGGGAGCGGGCCCGAGGGGAGGAGCTGGACGAGGACCTCTTCCTGCAGCTCACAGGCGGCCACGAGGCCTTCTGAGGCCTGTCTTACTGCCCTGTACCACTCACCACGGCCACGGCCACTCCTAAGCCCACACTCGCTGGGACTCACTGCCCACACCCTCTCCACGCACCGAGCTGGGCACATCCGCACTGTCACTGGCTTTGTGCAGACCAGGGACCCGGCTGGGCCAGACTCTGCATCCCCCTGGCGGGGGAGGGCGGTCCTGAGCTCTGCAGCACCTCCCTTCCCTCGTCTGAGTGGCCGGGAGCAGCACCCCTGGCCTAGTTGTAGTCCCTGAGCCCACAGGAAGGCTAGCTGCAGCCACAGGATAATAACTGATGGTTTCAAAGTGGAGGATTTTTTAAAATCTTTTTACATTTCCTTTTTTAATAAATATTTTATTGTTGGCTCATCCTTCCTCTGGAGCTGTGCTGGGGGCCACTCTGACACTCTGTCTCTTCATCACCAGCCAAGGAGAGGGGTTTTCCTGAGATCGAGAGGACTTGGTTAGAGAAAGGGAGACCTAAGTCAGCCTGGGGTTGGCAGAGGACACAGGCTTCAGACACAAAGAACAGGGTGGCGTGGAGGTTCTCACGGGTAGGCCGTAGCTGCAGGGCCTCCTTGAAGTACTTGGGAAGCAGGAAGCCATCAGCGTTTCCGGGAGTCAGGATCACCCCGTTCGCAGAGCGGAAGAAGGGGATTCCATCTGCAGACAGAGCCAGAGCTGTGACTCAGGCCCTCTCTGAAGGCCCAGGGCAGTCCCTGCTACATCCGCACTCACCTGCCAGGGCCAGGGGCCCATTGATGAACACGGCCACTTGGCAGTTTGGCCGCATGCCTGTAGGGACAACTGGAGCTGGGGCCTGGGGCATCTGGGGGTGCAGTTATCAAACACGGGCAGGCTGGGGTCCTGAACTCAGTGAGGAAAAGGGGGTACTGCTGCATACAGGGTATGGGTGGCTTTGGACCTCTGGAGGGACCTGGGAGGAGAGAGTGGGTGGGAGTAGCTGGGGGCGGGGATGCTGACCACTGATGACACCAGTGTCCCCAGGCAGTCCTGTGGCCAAGTGGATGTGTGTCCTTCCGCGGCAGGACAGGCCCTTGAGCCGGATGGAGGGCCAGTGCTGCCAGAATGTGCCATGGACCAGCATCGGGGGCAGGTCCCGCGGGGTCTCCAGGGGCATCAGCTCCAACTCAGGTACCTGTCACGGGTGGGGGGATGGACAGCAGTGAGACCCCCTCACAGGCAGGGGTCCCACCTGGCTCTCCCACTTGTCCCGTTAGCCGCACCTGCAGGGAGTGACCCTGATTGGCCCGGATGAGAGGGCCGGTGCTGGGGTCCCCTGGCTGCAGGGCGAACCGCTGCTTCCCATTGGTGTCCACCACACGCTGCACATCTTCCGCTGAGAAGCTGCGGAACTGGGGCAGCTGCAGGAGGGCGCCCAGGGGCACGAAGCCGCCTGCGGGCAGATGGGGAGCTCAGGAGTTGAACTTGCTCGGGCCTGAGCCAGAGCTAACAGGGGAGACACACACAACCAGAGCAGAGCCTGGGCTTGGGGATCACAAGGGTTCAAGGGAATAGCATCTGCCTCATAGAGGGTCACAAAGATAAAGTGACCCTGTCCTGGCTGGTGTGGCTCAGTGGATAGAGCGCCAGCCTGCGGACTGAAGGGTCCTGGGCTCAATTCCCGGTCAAGGCACATGCTTGGGTTGCGGGCTTGATCCCCAGTGCGGGATGTGCAGGAGGCAGCCGATCAATGATTCTCTCTCATCACTGATGTTTCTATCTCTCTCTCCCTCTCCCTTCCTCTCTGAAATCAATAAAAATATTTTTTAATATATTTTATTGATTTTTTACAGAGAGGAAGGGAGAGATAGAGAGTTAGAAACATCTATGAGAGAGAAACATCTATCAGCCGCCTCCTGCACATCTCCCACTGGGGATGTGCCCGCAACCCAGGTACATGCCCCTGACCAGAACTGAACCCGGGACCCCTCAGTCCGCAGGCCGACGCTCTATCCACTGAGCCAAACCGGTTTTGGCAAAAAAAATATTTTTTTTTTAAAAAAGATAAAGTGACTCCTTTAGCACAGTACTTGACTCAAAGTGGTACGCAATAAGCCTCACTTGCCCCGCCATCCCCCCACCCTGTGCCCACTTTTGGGATGTTTTTGGGTCGCAGGCCTGGCCGAAGAGAGGTTCTTCCCGGTTCGCCCCAGAAATGATATTGGGCTCTGGGTCTTCCCTGTAAATGGAGGGGTGCGGCCTGTGTGCCCTATGGGGCTGTGGAGGGAGCCCTGGGGGAGAGCAGTCACAGGCAGGCTGGCCCTGCTCCCTGCGCTGGAGCCCTCTCTGCCGCAGCCTCCAAGACCCTCACTTACCAGCCCCCATGGGCAGCCCCAGCTTCAGGGCCCCGTGGCGCAGGGCATAGGACAGAGCCTTGGACAGCTGCACGTCTCGGTCCTGTAAGAGTTCAGAGGTGGCTCCAGGTCCCCGTGGCGAGCCTGTCCTGCTGCCCACCCGGAACTCTGAGTGCCCTGCCCCAGGGGGAGAGCAGAGGAAGAGGAGTCCCCGTGCTCTCCAGAGAACAGTATGCCCCCGGCCCCCAGGCCCCCCCTCCACCGGCATTTCCCAGGGAGCCAGGGCTCGGATCCCTCACCGCCCCCTTCCACCGGGCATGGGGAGTGAGGGTGGCAGGGGCGCACCTGTTCCCGGGGTCTGCCAGCCCTTCTGCCTCTGGGCCCTGCAGCTTCCAGCTTCCTCTCTCCAGAGTTCATGGCCAAAACCTGGGGGCGCAGTGGCAAATGAGGACTGTTAAGGACCTCGCATGACTCCAACTCGCCCGGAAAGCCACAGCCTCGGGACGGGAGAGCTGGGACGGGGGCATGTTCAGCGCATTGATTCCCTTCCCACCCCAACCCCTGGTGCAGACAGGACACCGAGGCCCAGCAGGCAAGACCTGCCCAGGTCACACTGTCAGCCACGGGGCCCAGGTGAGCCGAGCCCCACGCTCTGGGCTCGCAGGTCAGGCTCTGCCGAGGAGACGGGGCCAGAGTCCCGGATCCCGGATCCCGGGAGGGCCAGA